GTTGCCTGCAGCCATGCATACTTTATAACCAGGGGACTGATTGTGTGAACTATACTTTGTGGTTGTTAACTTAACTGGTTGCCTACATGTGATGTCATATTTTTCTTCTTAAAACTGTGAATTATTTTTTAAAAATCTGATCCACAAGATTTATAAAACCTTACTGGGTTAATTTTCTACTTTTCACTTCCTGCTCTCAAAGACTGTAAAAAAACTGTTACAAACTGAAATGGAAGTAATTCCACTTGAAGTAATAGTAAAGTGTATTGAAGTAATAGTGAAAGTAATAGTAATCCACTATTACCTAACTCTCACTTTTGAATTTGCACACATAGCAAGGGAGAAAAATGTCTTCCCTTTAGTGGAAGTCAGGTGTTCTCAAAAACATGTTTGTGGATATGCTTTCCCTGTGGATCAAGTCTGAACACACGTCTCTCTTCTAAAACTCTTTTCTGCTCCGTAAATCTTGTGTCTGGTTTTGAGTTGTTTCTCTCTGTGTGCATTGTTGGGCTGCTGACAAAGGAAGGCCCAGGTTCACAGCAGAAGGTCCTGTCAAACCTGGGAAACTGGAGGAGCACTGTGGATTGGAGCTGCAGTGGAATATTGAATGTATGGGAAATAAGTCTGGACTTTTTGTATGTATGACACAGAGTCCAGTACAGCAGAGAAATGTACAAGGTTTGGATTAATTTTTATCCTGATTACATTTCTAAAGTAAATATCAGTATTATACAAGTTGGATATTTCCCTTTGTATTTATTTTATGTTGTTAAAAACAATTCTTAGCAATTCATAAATCATCTTGATAAAGCGATTGTCCCTTCACAGTTGTGAGCTTTTGCACTGTGTTCAGATACATTATACTCACGCTAGTGATTCACATTGACCAGTTTGCAAACTGAACTGGCTGAATTTGTTTGGGCAATGTGAGTGAAAATAATGATGTTTAAATCCCCTTTTAGTCTTGACTTAGCTATGAGAGACCAAGTTTAGAAACTTTCCCTATTCTAAATGGGATCTCTTTATTCTCTTGAGTATGAGAGATTAATTTGTTGGTGTTTTTTCTTTTTTTTTTTTTTTTAATTTTTTTTTAGTGTAGACTCAGTTCATGAGTGCAAGAGATTAAAAGTATTAAAAAATGCAGCATACATCCAGAACTGTGTGGGTGGAATAGCAGCAGGAAGCTGGTAAATTAGCTCAGTCATCATGAAACTTTACTGAGCAATTTTGATAATAACAATTCAAGTGATTCTTAAATGCCAGTAGGACTTACTGTAACACACTTCTGGTAATGGGAAGAGTGGTAATGTCTGCAGGCAGGCAGGAATGTTTCTATTTTTATGTAGTGTTTCACAAAAGAACTTCAGTATAACTGCCTAGGGAAAAACCCCAAATTAGTAACTAAATAGAAGTAAGTATGTGTCAGTCATCAAGGGTTTTCTTCAGTTTTACTTGTGAAAGCCAATGCTTGAACACACCTTCAAGTTAATTTATGATTCATTATTTCCTCCACTAAATAAAATCACGTAATTGCTGATGATTGTTGCTCAACTTGTCCTTTGCCGTTTCTGGGCCAGGTAAATTTTCAGGCATCTTCTTAGGAAGCAGAAGGGAGCAATACATACAGACTGAGAGAACAAATTCTCCACTTTCAGCACAGGGATGAAGAATAGGGAACTGTGAGTAGCATTTCAGTAAATAACTGCTTAAGGATACTTTTTCCTTAATAGGAACTCAGTTTGAAATTGAAAAAAAATAAGGTTTGCTTGTTATAATCCACTTTCCATTGGGCCTAAGACCTTGAATAAACACTTTTAATTTTTTGTTCTGTATTTCACATTGCACCACAAAGTGATAATCAGGCTTGAGAGTAGGCTTGAGCATCACCGACTCTGTGGCTTCTCCATTTTCCATCCGTGTGGCTGGCTGTAAAATTGTTATTTGCAACGTGTCTGTAGTGTGCTGAAGAGAGATGGGCTCAGGATATGTGATGAGGAATTAACACAATACTTGTCAGCCCTCCAAAAAGCAGGTAAAGATTAGGGTGGTTTAAGAACATGGCAAGTAGCTGGTAGGGATGTGTGACATGGGAGTGCAAAGCTCTCTGACCAAGGCTACGTTCCATGTCCATTTAAGGAATGGTGACTAAGCTTCGGAAGGGGGATTTGTCCTCTGTGGCACTGTGCTGTGTTGGAAGAGTCATTAGTATAGAAAGTAAATGTTCTGAGATGTGCAATTTAGAAAATAATATTTTTTTATTAACCTGAAGCCTGTCAAAAAATCCCATATGGTTTTGAAGTGAAGTATGTGGTATTCCACCAGACACTGCATATATTGCCTTTGATAGGGATGCTTGCCAGGGTCTGTATAGGTGCATGTGAGCACAGGGCTGAAAAGAACAGCTTGAGTCTGACAGTTGGATTACACTGGTATGATTTGTTATCATGATTTCCATGAACATGTTTATGTCTCATCCTAAAAGCAGTTTAGTTTTTTGTTCCTCTTGTTCTAGCTGGAAAGGATCTCACCATAGTAAAAATGAGGAGCCATCTTCTAATGTCTTGTTCATGTTTAAGTTTGGCCAGATCATATCTTCCCCTTACAGGACAATATTATTTTTTTATCTTGCATAACTTTTCCTCTCTCCTAGGTTAAATCCCTGTATCTATTTATCTTTTTGCCAATCCTTAGATACAACTCTCCATTTTACAAAGATCCTCATAACAATTTTCTTCATTTACATTTGAGTTAATCTTTCTTGAAATGGAGAGCTCAGTCCTGAAGTTCAGAGTATTTAGAGTGAAATTTTCCCTGAGCATTGCACAGCATCACAGAATCACAGAATGTGCAGAGTTAGAAGAGACGAGGATCATGAAGTCCAACACTGGCCCTGCACAGCACCATCTCTGCAAATCACCCCATGTGTATGAGAGTATTGTCCAAACACTTCCAGAGCTCTGTCAGGCTGGCTCTGTGACCACTGCCCTGGGGAGCTTGTTCCAGTGCCCAACCACCCTCTGGGGGAAGAACCTTTTTCTAATATCCAATATAAACCTCCCGCAATACAACTTCAGGCCACTCCCTTGGGTCCTGTCACTGCTCACCACAGAGAGGAGATCAGTGTCTGCCCCTCCTCTTCCTCTCATGAGGAAGTTGTAACTGCAGTGAGGTCTCCCCTCAGTCTCCTCCAGGCTGAAGAGACCAAGTGACCTCAGCTGCTCCTCACACAGCTTCTCCTCAAGGTCCTTCACCATCTTTGTTGCCCTCCTTTGGACACTCTCTAATAGTTCAATGTCTTTTTTATATTGTGGTGACTAAATAACTTTCTTGTTCTGGAAACATCTATTGTGTTATATACATATATTGTGTTTTCAGAAGACTGCATTAGAAGGGCAATTTGGCAGTGTGCTAATTGTACCTGTCTTCAGGTACTGCTATGCTGATTATCTGGCACACGACACGTACTTGGCAGTGGCACACTCTGAAGAGCAGTGGGTTGGTATGAGCAGCTGCTCACCATCCCTCTGGTGTCTGCAGGAAGCAGCATCACCGTGATGCCACCAAGGGCCACTTCTCCCACACTAGGTCAGGCACATGATCCCCCACTGCAGAACCACAGCTGTTATTCATCTGCAAATTCATGAATGTTTCTGGAAAGCTGAACTTGTCTACTTCTATCTTCAAGCCCACCTAATTCTTTCTATGTTCAAAATCTCTTTAATTTCAATACTGAGTTCTGGCTTGGTTCATTAGCAGAGTTCATCACATAACACCAGATTAAAGAAACAACAATAATAATAATAATAAAGATGAAAATATTTAACAGATTTTGGTTTTAACACCTGCATACTCGGAAGATAAAAACTGTAGTTCTGCTTTGCACAGAACACTTTCTCCTTCCATTCAGCCCTTCTTCAAGTACAAATGCACATTTCTGGCCACTCCAGCTTGACTGAAAGTGAAAACTAAGTTTTGAAAACTAAAAACTCTTCTGATTTCAGAGTGCTATTTCTTTCAGGAATGGTTCCACTTTCCTCTAGGCTGAAGATTTTTATACCTCTAGCACTTGTTAGGAGAAATTAAAAGTTTTGTCGCTATGGGCATTGGGTGTTCTTCTCTGAAAATTGTGATGTAGCTTATCTTTAAACATTAGTCTTCCAGCAGGGGTTAATGGACAGCAGTTGTGCAGGGTATCAGAGTAGATTCTTTAAGCTGAAGCCCTCTGCTCATCTGTGCATAGATCCAGGCAATTCAGCCTGGCCACCTGGCACCTCCACACCCACAGCTCCTCTGGCCAAGTTCTGGGGCCAGTGTCTGTCACAGGCTGGTCTCACTGGCTGTGAGCTGCCCTGATGGTGCACAGACAAATGCATCCATAGAGTCACTGAAACCATGGTGGCTCACTCTATATGTATATACAGTGGTTCACTATAAATGTATCCTCCCTTGTGCACTTTTCACAAGCCCAATCCAAATCAATGAATCATGTTTTAATCTGAAAATCCTGTGTCTTTCCTGAACAGTCTTCATAATTAGATATATTAGTCACTATGTACACTGTGCTTATGCTTGTGGTAGTAAGATGAGAGCAAGTTTAAGTCAGTCTACTAAATATCTTACAAACCATCAAGAAAACTTTATTCAAGTTATATACATGCTGAAGATAAAATATCAGTCCTAACTATTATTCTATGGTATCCAACACAAGATTTCAAATATTTATAGATTCTCAAGTAACTGTACAGGTTGTCTACAAACTGCGTTATGAAATAAGAAAATCTGTGTGATTTTAGCCTCTATATATATACATAAATACATTTATATATGCAGAGACACATAAAGACCAAGAAGACCATTCCAAAACCTGGAAGATAACCATATGTAGTAAATCCTTCTTAAGTATTTTAAAGTATCCTTCTGTCTTTATGCTCATCACAGCATCCGCATTCATCTTCTGTGACATTGTGTTGCTGGAGGATATCATACTTGGGAAGATAAGTCTAAAATTTTGTTTCTGTTGGAATCTGTAGGGAATAAAAAAAATCCACATTCTGTAAGGAATAGCCAGGGTAGGTGTCATCTGATAAATGATGTGTAATTATTTGATCCCCTAAAGCATTTGGGTGGGAAAACTGGGGTCTGACATTTCCTCCTTACAGGGTTGCTCTGTGCTGGATACTGCACTTCTCTCTATGTCTGTACTGAAAGGCTGCATGTGTCCCTTCTTTGTCTCTGTCTCCAGAGTCCCCTTCTGCCTGAGACATTTAGATAAACTGGACTAATGTTGACTTCTCTACCACAGGGCTCTTCTACCAGTGGCTTTATAATGGAGGAGCTGTGGTGGACAGGTGAGGAGAGGCAGACTGGCCAGGCTCAAGAGCCGACCCCACTCCTCTTATCCGGTAAGGCTTTGCTGTAAGTCAAATCCCATCAGAAACTGTCTGGTGGCTTTCTGCCCTGGGCTGACACAAGAGCTATGAAGCAGGTATGAAGATGCTTCAGGTATGAAGATGCTTTTGTTATCTGACCTAGCCATTCCATGAGCAACTTTTTTGGGCTGCATTTTCTACAGCTGGAGGGCCATAGCCAGAGCCTTACTGTGCATTCCTGGCTGCGCAGTCTGTTCCTGGGGATGATGACACAGTCACTGCTTCTACCCTTCTCCTGCAACAAGCACAAGAAGTTGTGGGTTAGGAAATTGATTCCTTTTTTTTTTTTCCCTGTTTATAATTTTTCACATTAAAGAAGGTCTTGATTTTTAAATCTCTGGAACATGCCTGGGATGTTGACATAGAAGAAAGGAAGCTCCCACTTGTCAGGCTTTTATGACCTCCACCGCATCTCTGGGTCAGTGCAGAAGATCTGGACCAGTTCAGTAAAGTGGGATTAGACAGTTTCCAATGAGCAGCATTCTGGGTCTGGTACATTTAAGCACATTTATTGTATGCAGGATCCTTTCTTGCTCTTGATTTAAAAACACTCCTAGAAAGGCCATCACCAAATCTGGCAGTACTATTTTATCCACACTACTTTAGCACTTCTTTTGAAGACAGACAGGGCTGGAAAGCCTATATGCAAGCAGCACAAAGTCTGCCTTTCAAGAGCCACTGCAGCAAATTGAGCAGTCTCTGATGGGTGGGTGACCACAGAGGACTGCTGGTAGATGGGCATTGTGTTCTTCCCAAAGAGGTGGCTTGAAGTCCACAGCCAGGCCAGCCACCAGTGGGAATTATTCACTCCTTTCCACACAGCTGAACCAGGAGTCATTCTTGTTCTTCAATTTGATTGGAGACCAGCTGAGTTTTAATGACTGTCTTTTTGAAAATGGAGACAGTGTAGCATACACATATAACTGTGCAGGGTGCTGCTAGGAGCCTGGCAATACTGGAAAGGCACTAAAGTAATAAAAGATGAAGACAGTAGTGTTACCTCAGCAAGTTTCAATTTGGGGGAGTTGGCTATGTCCTTCTTCAGCAAAATGTGTAAAACTGCGTCGTGAATGGTGAGGAAAAACATGGATGGCTTTATCTCTTCATCAAAAAATGCACTTCTCTCCAGTTTGTCCAGGAGGCCCTCTGTGAGAGAACAAAATCAAAGCACAAGTGACCTCCAGGCCTTAAAAAGGAAGAAATTGTGTATCCTGATCACACCCACTGTGTGAACATGGGAGTTGCTGGTATAATGCACAGGGTTTTTTTTAGAGCGTATGGCTTTACGTATATCAAGAGAATGGAACATAAGTGCCCGTCAGTAGTTCCCTGCTCTATGCCAGGCAGGAAGGAATTTGAGCCCCTTTTCTTATTTAATGCCTAGACCAGGACGCATGATGGTGGGTCCTGCAGCCCAGAGCTGTACAACTCATCAGTGGCCATAGGTAAAAGGAGCCATCACACATGGTCCCAGCCTGTTGGGGACAGCATGGGAGGGACAACACCTCCACTTAGTGGGACCTGTTTGCTATTCAAGAGTGGAAGGTAAAACTAGTGATCCTCCACAGCCATACTCAGTGGTCAACAGGGGAGGCAGTGGGATGAGGCATCTGTGGTGATGCCAATGCAAAGGCAAGTACTCACCGTACGCCCCAGCAACATAAATGTCAATGTCGAGCCGGATAAATTCTTTCAAAGTCTGTTAAACCAGAAAGAGGCATCATTTAGATTCTGTTGGGCTTGCTGATTGCCATTATACTGATTAGCCACAGCAAATATACCAATCACTCTGTGATATTTAAGATCTATGATAATAAATGGATCTAAACTCAAACTCTGTTGCACATAGAGGCAGGACAATCTCTTCACATGGCTGCAGTCAGCAATGGCCAAGCCTTTTGAAAAGAGGCAGTATTGAAAATGTTTGGCTCACAGAGAAGTAGGTGACCTTTCATAAATTGTATGGCTACATAAATTGTTGTGCCTACATGATACATGATGAAACTAAAAAAATTACTTCACAGTCTTCTGGGGAAGATTTTTGTAACTGGGAACTTGAGCAGAACTACAGTTCCCACTGTCACAGTGGGCCTTTAATTCCTATGGAAATAGATTTACCCTCTGTGTCTCTAGGCAGTTAACTGTAGCTGCTACTGTTGAAAATGTTGTGTCTTTTGCTTTGTTCAAGGTCATCTGGGCAAGCAAAAGCAGGAGCAGAAATGGAACTCCAATGTTCCAATTCCAATTGGGTGTTTAAAGCTATATTTCATATCTACATTTCTGCAAAGCTTCCCAAAATCTTACCAAGTGAAGAAAGGGTTCCCCCGGCCATTGTTTTATTTCCAGGCCATTTTTTTTTGTTTTTTTAACTTTTTTCCCGGCCTTTTCTATACAAAATGTACATTCAAATTCACATAAACTCAAGGTTTGCCACTGGCCTTCCACTCCATGTAGTAATGCATCTAAGAAGCAAACTACAAACACAGAACAGAATCATAGAATGGTTTCAGTTGGAAGGGACTTAAAGATCATCTTGTTCCAACCCCCTGCCCTGGACAGGGACACTTTACACTGGAGCAGGTTGCTCAGAGCATCATCCAACTTGCCATTGAACAGTTTCAGGGATGGAGCACCCACAGCTTCTCTGGGCAACCTCTTCCAGTATTTCACCACCCTCACAGTAAAAGATATCTTCTAATGTGGACCTGCCCTCTTTCATTTTAAAGCCATTGCCTCTTGTTCTATCACTGTATACACCTGTAAGAAGTCCCTCTCCATGCTTTTTTATAGGCTCCCTTTAAGTATGGAAAGGCCATACTTAATAGTATAGCTTTCATAGCCTTCTCTTCTCTAGGCTGAACAACTCCAGCTCTCTCAGCCTTTCCCCGTAGGAGAGATGCTCCAGCTCTCTGGTCCTTTCTGTGGCTCTTGTCTAGACCTGTTCTAAGTTTGCCATGTTTTCCTGTGTTGGGGACCCCACAGGTGGTCACCTACCTCAGGTGAGGTCTCATGAAAGTGGAGTGGAATCTCTCATGAGAGTGGGGAAGAATCACCTGCTGGTCACACTTCTTTTTATGCAGCCCAGGATATGATTGGCTTTCTGGCCTGTGAGTGCACATTGCCAGGTCATGTCCAACTTTTCATTCACCAGTATCCCCATCTCCTCCTCTGCAGGACTGTTCTCAATCCATTTATTCCCCAGTCTGTATCGATACTGGGGACTGCCCTGATCCACGTGCAGCACCTCGCACTTGGCCTTGTTGAACTCCATGAGGTTCAGGTGGGCCCACTCCTGTCCAGGTCCCTCTGGGCACCATCCCTTCGCTCATGTGTATCCCTCAAGTGTAACTGCATGTGTAAGTTTTTTCTTTCATATGATCACTATTTGTCTAATCAACTGGGATTACCTTTCGGAGGACTGTCATGGCAGAAAAATCGAGGAAGGACACTGATGAGAAATCCAGAATGATGCTGTGGAGGTTGACCTGGGGTACAGTGATGCCAGGGGGGAGGTCAGTGCCCCAGTTGATCCGAATGGGCAAGTCTGTCATGATGGTGGGCTGGTCCAGCTCCTCTATTTTGTTGTTGTCCAGCTCTTCCTCTGACTCATAAGTAGGATTAGCCATGCAAATCAAGCCCTTCTGTGTTGACATAGAAAAATGTCATAATTAGTTTTTTTCTTTAATATCCAGCCAGGGTAGTGGTACTTCTCACACAAGGGCAAGAGTAATGGCAATGTACAACTGATCTTCCCATGAGACAGAGCAGGACCCACCTGGAAAGTTCTGTCTCTCCCTTGTCTGGAGAAGTATGGAAATTATTTAATCATCATCATAATCACTTAATGATGGCTTTTTAGTGTCTCCTGAAGCCAGTTGCCAGACATATTTTAATTCAGTAATTTTAGAACAAGTCAACGAAAGGCATTCAGGATTTGAGCTGGGACAAAACCAGCTTTATCCTACCATTAATGCAGAAAGATATTAATTTCTTGGTGGATCTGATCCTGCTCTTTGTTGCCAAACAAAGCTCCAGTGGACATGCACAAGCTCTGCCCATGGTAAATCTGTAGGTCTCTAACTGTGAGAGCCATTTAAAATCTTGGTTTTTAAATCTGTTTATGTCATGAAGTAGCAAAGTGGGGAATAGTGTATCTAATTAAGAAGGGAGTCTATGTGGTTCTTCTCTGCCATGTAAAACAGGGATCTTGGTTGCTTAACTCCCCCCTCACCCCAAGGGGTTGTCTTACATACCTGTGTCACTTGCAGCTCTCCTTTCTTCAGCATCTTCCTAATCTTCCTCAGAGCTTTATTGCGTTTCCTCAGGACTCTCAGTGGGTTGAAGCCAACCTGCAAAAACAGCACTTTGAATAATTAAACAAAGAAACACCTCTGTGACACCCAGGGGAAGGACAAAGCATCTCATAAGGTTTTTCATTACAGCCATGATGACCATAGTTTGACCTTGATATTGTCTACCACTTTTCACAAGTTCAAACAAGGGCTCTTTCTAGGTTGGAAGGATGTCTATAGGAATGGCTACAAATGAGGCAGGGCTGTCTGTACTGCTTTAAGATACCAGCATGGACAGCATTATAGCAGTGAGAGTGCTTAGCACAGGCCAGTAACTGCAGCAGGCTGGCACAGTGCTGGCATCTCCTACTCATCTGCAGGTGAGCCACCCAGGTGGCCAAGATCTGAGAGTTCATGATTTGTATCTGCTTTGCGCCTCCTGACTGCAGCATGGGTCATTCACCCACTCTTCTTCCTGAAGAAGAAAGCCAGATTTTATCATGTTGCCTGCATATGTCTCTTGAACCTCTGAGCTGGTTTTAACAGAATTAGATGGCAGGTAAATTAGGCTAACAATAAAATTAGGCTAAAATACTAAATTCCTGCAAGTTTTTTGCCTCATCCATCTAGTGTGTAGAGGAGAAAGGTGTTAGAAGTATCTGTATTTGTAGAGAAAGAGTGGTGTGAACATCTGCATTCACAGAAAAAAAGCTTCAGGCTCTTCTGAGGTGAAAGCCAAGCATATGGAGAACCAAATGTGTCAGATTCCTTGATTCCTCTGCCAGTTTCAGTCCCTTATCTGAAGAATGAACTGCTCATTATGAGTGCTCAGGGGAATCACTGCTTATCAACTCCCCACTAAGAGCAGAAGGAAGGGGAAGTTGTGGTGCTAATTGTGTTTGGGCAGGGGATGGTGGACCTCATTCACACAGTGGGGGCTCAGAGGTCCTGGATCTCTGTGCTGGTTATGGAAACACTGGCTGCATTCACCAGTTTGTTATGAAAGATGTTAAGAGCTCTTTGAGGGAATGATTCCATTTGGCATTCTTCTGACTGTTGTGGTTACGTTCTTGGGGTAAAATGAGTAAACTAGAATTTATTGTGTGTAAATAATACAAGAGAAAATAGAATAAAATAAAATACATTTTCCCTTATATTATCTATGTTTACACTCCTTTCTTCATGAAATATGTATTGTTATGGTATAAGTATACATATGGTATAAATATTGCTATGGTGAAAGTTCAGCATGAGTCAGGCTGTACTCTTTCTTAGAGGTGTGTGCATACATGTTATATTACAGTAGTGGCAACAGTATAAAGAAAATTCACCCTTGAACTGTGGAATGACTGCATATATAGTAATTATTGGGAAACTGTATCCATCTTAATGTGTCACACAATTCATATATTCAGAACAGCCCCAGACACTTACAGCAGTGATGAGTTTCTCTCTGAAGAATTCAATATTAGCGAAGAAGATTGGAGAGGAGCATCTGAAAATCTTCACTCCCTCTGGCTCATAGATCTGTAAAATGAATCAAAAGTGTCAGTGGCAATGTTTGCTATAGAAGCACAAGTGCAGCAGGTGATAAAAGAAATTAGATATTTCTTACATCAGTGTAATCCTTCCTGTTTCTGTAGATGTTACTTCTCCCAACATTGGCCAAAACAGTGCAGCTTGGACTGTGAATAAACACACACACAATTATTTGTGTCCTACATTGAAACTTGGGGGATGGGAAGGATCAAATGAAACCATCTTAGCTGGGGTGGCATACTAAGGCGAGCCCCCAGCATCCAAAGTTTGCATTTTTGAAAATTATTTTTCCATGCACGGTTGCTGGACAGACCAAGGCACAGACAGGGTGCCCTTCTCTGTGCAGAGAGAGAAAACTTACAACAGGAGGACCTGGGATATCATTGCATTCAACAAGTACTCACATCTGGGAGCGGATCACCACAGTCAGCAGCTGGAATGCCACAGCTGCTCCTAGTCCAATGTCCAGGCCAAGGAAAATGGCAGCTAAGAAAGTCACCACCCATATAACCTGTAAGGAGACAGTGGATAGCAACATTACAAATATGTCAAGAAACTGGGTCATGAGCTCAGGGTGGGAGCAGGAATAGATCTCAGATCTGGTCCAGGATGTCCATCTGCTTTTAGTGAGGTTTTTTTTCTTGTAAAACAGGGCCAGAGTCTCCAACCAGGGAGTGTTTCTAGGGCCAGCAATTTCTAGACAATAAAGGCTTAAAATGGCATAGGTGGTTCACTAAATGCTAAATGAAAATCCAGCAGAAAGGCAAGATTAGAAGTAAATCAGAAATCTGGTAAAGCTGAGAGTTGTAAATGTGCAAATATAGCTGCTGTGAGTGTACATGACTGATAACTTACTAGATAATACTGAATAACTTTTAGCCACAAAACTCAAAGCATTTTCATGGGACAAATAACTGTGTGATAGCTGGGAAAACTGACGCCTGGAACCACTTGTGAGCCTAAATTTTCTGAGAGGTAATGAGTCCTGCCCTCTAGCCACAAGCTTTACTATTTGGAGCAAACCCTTCAAGTCCCAGTTTTCATTTGTTTGTTGCTGTGTATCTTCCATATGACACATTGTGTGATCGTGAGAAGCGTCCCTGAATGCTTAGTCAATGCAGTAGATATTTGTATATTTTCTGTCATTTTGGCATTTTCTGTAACTGTCTTCTCTATTTGACTTTATATAATGCATTATTTTAATAGATTTTGATGACATGGATGAAAATGAAGTTAAGAGTGAGAATCGACTCAAAATAAATGTGACAAAATGGAAAACATTAACAAGGGATATACCAGTAAAAAAGGCATGCAAATATTGTTCTTTCTGTTTAGTGAACTAAAACAGGAATAAAAAAAGAACATTTCTATGATAGATTACTTTTTCAGAGCATTTAAATTCTGATGCTTGTGAAACTCAACTTACACAGTCATACTTGTCCTTTCTCCAGAGGATGCTTATTTCCTTGAACTGCAGGAGCATTCCTTTCAAATTGCCAAGAGCCAAAGATGCAAGGACTGACTGTTAAAAAGACCAAAACACATGTTCTTTGTTTAAGTAAGCAAAGAAAATGTAAAATATTAGGAATTAAAGGATCATACAGATATGGCTGAAGTGCAGCTGAAAGGCCAGAGAGCTGCTCCTAGAGTACACTGCTGTTGGAAAACTCTCAGCTATGGTGCAGGTGCAGATGTCTGATTGAAGCTGTCTCACTTATTTTTGGAACCTGAAAGTTGGCTTTTCATGTTTGGGTACTTGTGTTCCCTTCATGAAACCAGATGTAGTGGTCCTCTCTGGCATCACATGGGAAGAAGAACCAAGCTTTTCAAGCCTTTTTGGCTCCCACTGAAGTCTATGAACACTCTCAGTGTGCTCATAGAGCAGCCCCATCTTTGGGAAGCAGGAAGAAGCATTACATAAAACCAGTGAATACCTTCTGTAATGGTGCCAGGAGGAACCCAATGGCCAAGATCACAACCAAAACAATGACAGATGAGATAATGCCAGCAATCTGCATGAGAGAATAATTCCACAATGAATAAGTGCCCACAGGCATGATGGTTAGGAATAAAAGAGCTGTCTTTCATTAAATGTCATAATGACTTGTTGTCTTCTGTACCTGTGTTTTGCCTCCTGTGCTCTCCTGCACACCTGATCTTGACAGAGCAGTGCTGGAGGCAAATCCCTTGAATGATCCACCAACTATATTACCCAGCCCAAAAGCAATTAGTTCCTGAAATAAAAATAAAAGAGGTTATTCCTAAGAGCTGCTTTGTGACAGTTATTCACAAGACAAAGCTTCCCTAAAATGACTTACTTCCCATTGATAAATGCAGTATATTGATCTCTGTGCTATTTGCCTACCTGGTTGCCATCTATTGGGTAGTCATGCTTGATGGAATACACTTTAGCCACGGAGAAGGCTACTGCAAACCCAACGATTGCGATGGAAATGCCGTCACCAATACACTTCTGGAGGATGCCTGCATCAGGTGCAACAGGTGCATGAAACCTGAAAGACAAAAGACTCAACTCTTTAAAGAGATGCCTAAGGGTCTTTTGCAGATCCTGGAGAGAATTCCTCTCTGGACTACTTCCCCCCCTTTTTTCCAGTGAACTGAAATCTGAAGAAAGGAGACTCATGAGCAGAAATAGCTGTTGCTCTGCAAGCTTCACCTACTAACACCTCTGAGGCTACAGAGATTACCCCAGATTCACTCTGTTGTCCTAGTAAATGTCTTCCTCCCTATTTTTAACTTAACATGTGCCACCTGATTCTTTATGCCAAAATTCTGGCATAGCCAGATGAAGGCTGTATATTCTATATGTGGAGAAATAATCTTTATGTGGATATAATCCTGGATGGGCAAATGTTGAGGCCTCTGGAGGATAATGGTGCTGAAGAGACGCTGATGGCTTGTCATGGGAACAGGCAGGAGAATTGGGCAGGGTCCTGGTGGCTTCCCAGGGCTGGTGCTGGCTGCTGAACTGTGCATGTGCTGTGAGGGAAATGGAGGAGTTCAGGAGTGAATATTTCAATAAAAAGGACAAACATCAACCTCCTGCTCACCAGCTGTCTCAGAAAGTGAAGGACACAATTATTTCATGTCTCAGTGTACTCCTTGATGAATAGGAGATGTGCTCTATCATGTAACTTTTGTGTACTAAAAGTGTGTCATATCATTGAGAGAAAAATGTTTATTTACCTACTGAAAGAAGATGAAGCAGATAATTTTAATCAGAAACATAGCTGAACTCATTTAACCCTGCTGAACTAAAGAGAACGTCTTGCTCTACTGGTGAACTGTAAGTCACTTACCCTTCCTCTAGTTTCCCAACGACAGCTACTTCAAATTTTTCTTCAAAGTTGACAAAATAGGAAATGAGTGCTGCTAAGATTGTCTGTAAGACAATAAACCACACCTCCATTAGGCACATTAAAGCAAGAGTGTGAAGAGTCTATTAAATACCATGATCTTCCTTCTCTTGCACACTGTCCAGCCTCATCACTAGGGGCAGAATTATGCCCCAAATTTTCACATCCCTTTGCTGTGCAGATGTCATTCCTTAATGACCTTACAGGTATGGGTTTACATTCATAAATCACACTGATTGTAACAGACTATCTTACTAACAACAGAGATCATCCCACCCGGTAAACCAGGTATGCTCTAACAAGGTGCTGTAACGACCCTGGGGGAAAACAAGTGCTGCTTGAGTCTATACAACATCCTCCAGGATTTTAGGGGCTTGCTGCCACTGTGAAGCTTCCTACATCCCTCTGCTGATCAGAGTGAGCAAAACCTTCTGCTGCTAGAGGACAAAATAATTTTGTGTAGTCATAGATATCCAGGACTTCAGTGGCTGCCTGCAGGTGTGGTACAGAGGGGTCTCAGGTGTGAGACTGCAGCTGGATGGTGTCAGAGCCAATCCTGTCCAAGGAAAAAATTCAAAGTTTATAATACCAAGCTGTTCAGTTAAGAACAGCTATGTGGCAGTAAAACATCTCACAATAGCTCCTGAATGCTGTAAATGTTTCTTTATACGTAGATGGTAGTGCATCATTTAGTGCACAAGAGGAGAAGTGTTACAACTCTGCTTCCTGTGTCATAACATGGAGCAATTGCAAAATCAAAGGAAGTGACTCACCACAAGGAGTTCGATTGGGATGGGAGCTGGTAACTTTTCCTTGTATCGATCGTTCATTTCTTTTACTACAAACACGATAAGTAGGACAACCAGTGATGTGACAAGGTCAGCAATGTTTGCTTTTGTGATCTGGCTGAAAAGGCTCTCCAGAGTCTGCAGAACCAGGAACAAACATGTGGTGCTTAAGAAACAGTTGTGCCCTGGCACAGTAGCACTATCCCTTCCAGAAGAACCTGTATCTGAATGGCTCTAAGGATCGTGCTGTTTGGGATTTATTCCCTGTGGTATGATGTGGACTGAAAGCCCCCCTGAATGTACATGCATCTGCCAAATGACCCATCTGCAAAAGACCCTTTCCACTCACTTGCAACTCTCTCCTCCAGATTTGCCCCTGAGAGAGGGTTGGAACAACAGGCAAGTCAGTGATAGGAAATGTGAGCAATGGCATTGCTGGGCAGGTGCCTTTCTCCACTTGTTCCTTCTTGTTCTTCTTGTCTCTCCTCTCTCATCTAACAGCCCACACAGAGTCAGATGCAAATTAAATATGTATAATATCAGTCCAGTAAAAATTAATAATTAAATCCTTAAGGCAGTGTTGAATGCCTAATTGAAATATGCCAACACAAAATAGTAAATATTATCTGATTATCCCAATGGGGTGTAACTTGGTGCTTGGCAATAAATTTAAATATTTGCCATATGCTAATAACATATTCTTGTTCTTCCTGCTGCTTTGC